AACAAGCCGCAGTTATGCAAGGAATGACTCAAAGAAAACCAACAGTCGCATGTCGTGACAACGGTAGGAGAGCAGCTGTGAAATGTCGAAATAGTGCGGCTCTGCCTGATGACGGCACCAAATGTGGGTAGGCGGACGACGGTGGGGCAATCTGGGCACATCCCTGTTACACACTAGAACCGATCCGTGTCTAGCTGATTTCGCTGACATGGAACTTCGTCTGGAGGCAACGCCCAAGCTCGATTGATCTTTCTTCCCTTGTTTACTTTACACTCATCCGCCACGACAGCACTCTGCGCGGTTGGTGATCTGTTACCATGAAGTTCTACATCGACAGCCTCCCCGTGCTGTTCCCGTACCCTCGGGTCTATCCTGAGCAATATGCCTACATGTGCGATCTCAAGCGTACCTTGGACCAAGGCGGTCATTGCGTCCTCGAAATGCCTTCAGGCACGGGTAAAACCGTGTCATTGCTCTCGCTCATCATCGCGTATCAGCAACACTATCCTGAAAAACGGAAGCTGATTTACTGCTCGCGTACCATGTCTGAGATTGAGAAGGCCCTGGCCGAGTTGAAGGCGTTGATGAAGTATCGTACCACCGAGCTAGGCTATGAGGAGGAATTTCGAGGTCTGGGGTTGACAAGTCGCAAAAACCTTTGTCTACATCCCTCAGTCAAACGAGAAAAGAGTGGGACGGTAGTAGATGCGCGATGTCGCAGCTTAACGGCAGGTTTCGTCAAGGAGAAGAAAGAACGAGGCGAGGATGTCGAGCTCTGCGTCTATCACGAGAATCTCGATCTGTTAGAGCCACACAACCTCATTCCGCCTGGTGTATGGACCTTTGATGGCATACTGAAGTATGGTGAACAGCAAAAGCAATGTCCTTACTTTACCGCAAGGCGAATGATGCCCTACTGCAACGTCATCATCTACTCGTATCATTACCTGTTAGACCCAAAGATTGCAGACCGAGTATCCAAAGAGCTATCAAAAGATTGCATAGTAGTCTTTGACGAAGCTCACAACATCGACAATGTGTGTATCGAATCCCTTAGCATCGACCTGACAGAAGATGTTTTACGGAAAGCAACCAAGGGTGTTAATAACCTTGACCGGAAAATCACAGAGATGAAGAGCAGCGACGCAGAGAAGCTGCAAAACGAATACGCCAAATTAGTAGAAGGTCTACGGGCTGCTGATGAGGCACGCAACGAAGAAGCTTTCATGGCGAACCCTGCTCTTCCAGATGATCTTCTCACAGAAGCCGTACCCGGAAATATACGGCGAGCTGAGCATTTCGTTGCTTTTCTCAAGCGTTTTATCGAATACCTCAAGACTCGAATGAAGGTTCTTAATGTTGTTGCGGATACCCCACCAGAATTCTTGAAGCATCTCAAGGACCTGACGTTTATCGAACGAAAACCTTTGCGATTCTGCGCTGAGCGTCTGACCTCACTCGTCCGTACACTCGAACTCACAAATATCGAGGACTACCAACCCCTTCAAGAAGTTGCTACCTTCGCCACATTGGTAGCAACTTATGAAACTGGCTTCCTACTGATCATTGAACCCTTCGAATCAGCGACAGCCACCGTACCGAATCCTGTCTTACATCTGACATGTCTGGATGCTGCAATAGCCATCAAACCCGTTTTTGAGCGCTTCTACTCCGTCATCGTTACCTCTGGAACAATGTCACCCCTGGACATGTATCCGCGCATGCTCAACTTTAATACCGTTGTACAAGAGTCTTTCACAATGACGCTGACGCGAAAATCTTTCCTTCCCATGATTGTCGATCGCGGAAACGATCAGAATCAAGTCACATCACAGTTTGAGCACCGAAACGACTTGCAAGTACAGCGAAACTTTGGCAACCTACTTATTGAGTTCTGCAAATTGACGCCTGATGGAGTCGTTGTCTTCTTCCCATCCTATCTCTACATGGAAAGCATTATCTCTGCATGGCAAGGCATGGAAATCCTCGACACAGTCTGGAAATACAAACTCATCCTTGTCGAAACACCTGATGCCCAGGAAACCGCTCTGGCACTCGAAACCTTCCGCACAGCCTGCAACAACGGCCGCGGCGCCGTCCTTCTCTGTGTCGCCCGAGGTAAAGTAAGCGAAGGTATCGATTTCGACCACCACTATGGCCGCACCGTGCTCTGCATGGGGGTACCCTACCAGTACACCGAGTCCCGAATCCTCAAAGCCCGCCTAGAATTCCTCCGTGAAACCTATCGCATCAAGGAAGCGGACTTTCTCTCTTTTGACGCCATGCGCCACGCTGCCCAGTGCCTCGGCCGTGTCATTCGTGGCAAAGACGACTACGGAATCATGGTGCTAGCAGATAAGCGCTTCAACAAGAAACAAACACAGCTCCCCAAATGGATCCAACAGGGCCTCGACGCCAAAAACACAAAACTCTCCATTGATCAGGCTGTCGGCATGGCCAAGAATTTCCTCAAGGAAATGAGCGTGCCGTGGAGTAGGGCTGAGCAGGAGGGCCATTCGTCATGGAGTCTGGAAGATCTCGAGGCGCATCAGAGGAAAAAGGCGGCACATGGGATTAGTGGGACTGATAACCCGGCTATGCGGGCGTTGGAGGGGAGAGCGGAGGTGGAGCGTATGGATGTTGATGGCGAGGAGGGGGATGAGTATGGAGGCAGGGCTGATGTTGATGCTGAGATGGCGGGATTGGCTGACGGATAGAAGTTTGAATGTGTCTGGTCACATCACAGAGTAGATCCGTTTTCCTTCTTCCTCTCGAGAAAGCGTTCAGTAAAAATATGCATGGTACTTGGGGCGTTTTGTCAGGGTTTGGTAGTTAGATATCGCTATTGAGAATGTACTTCATGTTCGCACCACTGATGCGGTGCAACTAATTAGAATAAGAATCAACACCTATAAGTGTACCTTGAACAACTGGTATTTGTTTACCGAAGAGTAGGTGCAAAAAGACATCAGAATCAAAGATAAACTTGCATTGAATCAACTGACTATCCACGAATGAGCGCCTTGCTAGGATATATGAACACGAAGAGGAATGCAATCCGTATACCAAAGCTTGTCCACGCCCAAACTCCACGCTAGACAACCATCCAAGAGAAGGACAACTCCAAACACGACCATTTTGTAGTGAGTGACGGATGACTTTTAATCTCCACAGCTTCATGCACGCGTTCAGACTTCCATGTCCATAAACAACCACTTGTCACTAGTCAACTTCTCGCCCTGGCTGAAATCGTCAAGGGTTGTCAGCCCAAATCCAATCCAGCCGAGGTCCTTTGTCAGGTTATTGCGAGCTACTTGGTCGCTGTGTCGGTCGATACAAAGGACGAGGCGGCTGCACGAGAAGTAATCGACTTCGCAGAGCTCCAGTAGGGCCATGAGCCTGTATTGTGTCAGTTCTGGTATAGGCCACACAAGGGCGTGAAGGAATGACTTACCCAGCCTTGAGGTCTGCACCGATCACAGCTTCATCAAAGAAGACAAACATGCTCCTCTCCTCTTCTCTTTCAACAACAAATCCACGGAACATAACTCCACCAACATAATCCCACATCTCAATGTAGTTTGTAATCGCACCCTTGTGCTCCTCAAACCGTACCATTTCAGGTATATCGGAGTCAGTCGAGGAGTCAGAGTAGCGACGCACGTCGATGCCGTAGTCATTTGTGATCGCGGTATTTGCAGTCGTATCAATATAAGACATACCCATCACTAGCGAGTCCTGACGGTGCTGGCTCCCCTCACCTAGGAAAACAGATCGCAGTGTCTCGCAGAAGAGTCTCTCACACTCTTCCGTAATGGTGTATGCTGCCCCCCCTCTGCGCGCCTTACCGTTCTTAGCGGTAGATGCGTGTCTGGCGGCGAGGGGGGGACTTGATGGAGGTGATGGTATTCCCTGGTTGACACTTAGTATTTGGTACGTTACATATGGAACAGCGCATGAGCAATAACATACCGAGCTGACCTCAGGAACACCACCCGGCCCCGGCAGACGGGGTAGTGGAGTAATGGAAGCCCTGAAGGCTGGCGGTCGACGCGTCTACGGCATAGCAGCTAGCGCGGACGTTGCTAGCGGACGAGTACGAGTGAATACTACTACTACTACTCATACTACTACTGTTTCGTTTTGACATCGCCATTGCTACAATATTGCCACGGTGGATGCGTAAGAGGGCAAGCGTCTTAGGGACGGAAATGCGTGTATAGGGTCGCTGGTTGAGAGATTGCGGAGGTGCTGGAGGCGTTGTTTGGTGTAACAGAGAGCTGAGTGCTGATGTATATGGTAAGAAGAGGCAAAGACGGAAGACGGAAGATGAAAGAGGAGTTGGGCTCTAGCGGAGTGGGGTCTCTTGGCTCGTGCGTGAGGATGGCCATGTGACTGGCCAGAATTGAGCACTAGAAACTTCGCCAATCTTGGCCCAAACCTCGGCCAACAGAGAGAGCACTTCGGACGAAGAACTTGGTTCTGCACTGTGAAAAGCACCATGATTTTTGGATCCTGTGAAAACGGAATAACAAATGTCAGACCATTCTCTAGTCCATGATCATCACAGTCAATGGGACCATGCAGATTCTAGTGGGGCCTAAATTCGAATATCATGTATTATTACGCACTCGTGCTAGCGCCCACATGAAACACCATTAACTTTTGGAAATAGCTTCCTCAGCGAATTTCTACTCTTTTGGCAACGTCGCCTCGCTATATCTCATACAGACAACCCATGAAAAGAAACATTGGCGAAGAGGACTGAGAGATCCTTCCTCCTTGCACAAATCTATCGAAGCAATCCGGACTATGCAAGTCGGATATCTCAGACGACGCGCTATGCATACGGAAATCAGACATAATAGGAAAGAGGAAAGATACGCCAACAGACGCAGGCCGGCGGAGTCCTGCATACGAGTGGAGTCGGATCCTGCAATTTGATAGGAGCCAAGTGGACCCTGTTGCGCATAGGCGGACAAATAAAGGAAGTCGATGATTTAGCTGACCGAGATACACTTGATGTCGAAGATCAAGTCAGAGTTGGGTGGGATGTCCGGGGGGGCACCCTTCTTTCCGTATGCCATCGCAGCGGGAATAGTGAGACGACGCTCGCCGCCGGGGGTCATACCAGCGACACCAACGTCCCAGCCCTTGATGACTTGGCCAACGCCGAGCTTGAAGGAGAAAGGCTTGCCCTTCTTGTTGGCTATACACGTATTAGTATATGCTCGGTAGAACAGACTTTGGCAAGTACTTACAGTCAAAGACCTTGCCGTTCTTCAGCTTGCCAATGTAGCGCATCTCGACACGGTCACCCTTCTTGGCGGCCTTGCCCTTGCCCTCCTTCTTGTCATCAACAATGACGCCGCTGACGTTGCGAGGTCCCTTGGTAGCCTCCTTCTTTGCCTCTGGCTTGGGTGCATCGACCTTTGGGGAGCCAGTGGGGCCCTGCTCGAGGTTCTTAGCGAACTGAACCTTCTTCTTGTCGCTGCTGGGGGTGTCGTTCTTCTCAACCTTTTCAGCCTTCTTCTCTGGCTCAGCAGCGCTAGCAACAGCTTGGCCATCGTTCTTCTTGAGCTTCTTAGCTTGCTTCTTGCTGAGCTTAGCGTCGCCATTAGTCTTGCTGATCATGTCATCAAGGCTGGCCTCCTCCTCAGCAGCACGCTTCTTGCTCTTCTTGCTAGCCTCAACCAGCTTGGGAACCTCCTCCTCATCACTGTCAACCTCGGTGATTCTGGGGTCGCTCATACCATCGAGCTCGTCGTCCTCTGATTCGTCCATACCATCGAGCTCATCCTCGTCGGGAGACAGATCGTACCCGAGTTCGTCAAGACCGTCGTCTTCCTCATCCTCGCTGTCCTCGTCTTCAGGGAATGCGACATAGTTACCGGTGACGTAGACGTCGTGCGTGCCGGTGACACAGAGGTAGACCTCCTCGCCCTGGCGGACAGTGATGTCGAGAGGCTGCTGGTAGTGCTACGTGAAAGTTAGTGGAGCACCTAGCAGGCTCTGTAATGAGCAATCGTACCTTCTCAGGGTCAAGTGTGCAGAGAACAAGCTCTTCAGGCTCATCCTCATCGTCGTCGTCTTCATCGTCTTCGTCATCCTCGTCGCTCAAATCATCATCGGTAACCTTAGCCTTGCCCTTGGCCTTACCCTTGGCGCCGTTGGTCAAGCTGTCAATGTCCATGTCATCGGCCTCAAGCTCCTCTTGCATCTTCTTGGTAAGAGCAGCTTGCTTGGCCTTCTTTGACTTGGCTGGATCGCTAGGACCGCCATTCTTCTCATCTTCGCTGTCGTCATCGGAAAGGTCCGAGTCAGCCTCGGGAAGCGCACCAGCTGCACGCAGACGGGCAGCGATTGCCTCAATGTCACCCTCTTCATAGTCCTCATCATCATCATCTTCCATGTCAAAGTCATCAGGGATACGGATGAGCTTCAAGGTTGCGCGAGCATGCTTTTGGTCCTCGTCAAACTGTGGCTCAGCATCTGGGTCGATGGCAGCCATCGTAATTCTGAACTAGGCTCAGTTAGCGAAAAGTTGCGAATGCGACGGCTTTGCGCAAAGATGAACAGAATTGACGCAGCGCAAATGCGCTGACTATGAAATGCGAATAACACATAGAGTATACTTACAGTGGTGGACTGGTCGACAGCAGCCAGAATGGGAATGCCTCCAGCCGGAATGCGACGTCCGTAGACGCCAACAGGAATAGCAGACGCCATCTTGAAGATTGTCGTGAATGTATACGGGGGAGAGCTGGCTAAAGTATCAAGGTTTATCCAGTCGAAGAAGCGCTCTTTGCTCAGAGATTTGCACAGCTCGAGGACAGCTGGTAGAGCAGGATGATAGCGAAAAAAACGAGGAACTCGAGAACGGCGGGCTCGAGAGGTAGAAAAAGTTCGCCAAGCCCTGCAGCTTTCTGTTAGCGTCCTTTCACCGCCGGCAGAACGCTCCACTTTGCCCCACTAGCGCGACTTGATCGCGGTCGTACGCGCCACTCTACGCGCACTCGCCTTTGACCAGCCCACCAGAACCAACCTCGATATCGATATCGACATGCAACAGTCCATTTGGTCTCGTGACATCTCATCATGACCCCAGCCCCGATGAACGCCTTAGACCCACCAAACACCTATCACCATGGGCTCCCTTCTAGACAAGAATGCAGAGTCGGCTCGCAAGCGCATTGCCAACCATCGCTTTGAGGGCGAGAATGGCGAAGAGTATGAAGGCTCGGCGTTTGGAGGATTTAACGACTACTTTAGGCGAAAGAAGATCAAGTTGCAGAACCTGGATGCCGATATTCGATCTCAGGCTAGCGATAAACCGCAGATCTTCAAGGGAATCGTCGCACACGTTAACGGCTATACTCAACCCTCGCTTATTGATTTACATACACTCATAGTACAGCATGGCGGAGGCTTCATGCAATACTTGGACGGAAAGACTACTGTAACACACATTATAGCCAGCAGTCTCACACCGAAGAAGGCTGTCGAATTCAGAAGATATCGCATTGTAAAGCCGGCGTGGGTGGTGGATAGCATAAGAGCTGGCAAACTGCTGCCATGGAATGAGTACCGCGTTTTGGATGAGGGCGAAACACAAAATGTATTGGCATTCGATGGGGGTAATATCACCACACATTCAAACATTAAGAATAGGGGGTATCGAGACCAGACAGACACCAGCTGGTACACGAGCCAGCTGCAAGGTAGCCAATCCGGGCCATCCAGTACGCCGACGCCCTCCAGTCCTAGGCGCCCGCGCTTCTCAAAATCAAAGCAACAGCATCCGACGTATGACGATGACATAGAAGATCTTCCGCCTTCCTGGCAACCTCAAGGTCTACTCAACCCACCCGGTCCAAGACAGTCAAGTAAGGCTGCAAAGCTGATTACGCCACCCAAAACGAGCCCTGCGCTACCACCTGTTGACCATGAAGATATACAAAGTGATTTGCACAACAGCCTCTACGCAGAACCCAGCCCTCCCAAGGCTCTACATTTGCCGCTCAACGACCAAGTCGAAGAAAGGGCGAAAGAGATCACGTCTGAACTTGATCTTCCAGCACCTAAAAATAGGCCACTTACTGCTGAAGAGCACAATGCAATTCTTCTCCGTGATCCAAAGATTCGGCGTTCCACTGTTGTGGATCCAAATTTTCTTGAGCAGTATTACAGAGAATCGCGCTTACACCATTTGTCCACTTGGAAGGCTGATCTCAAGTCGCAATTGCAGGCCCTTGCAAACGAAAGCTCATCTTCCCAAAAAGCAAAGCAGAAGCGTGTGCCTGGTGTTCGGCGATACATCTTACATATTGATTTCGACAGTTTCTTCGCTGCAGTCAGTTTAAAGAAACACCCAGAACTTAAAGACAAGCCAGCCGTTGTTGCCCACGGACAAGGCAGTGGTTCGGAAATTGCAAGTTGCAACTACCCTGCTCGCACATTCGGTATCAAAAACGGAATGTGGATGAAGCGAGCACAAGAACTCTGTCCGGACCTCAAGATCTTGCCTTACGATTTTCCGGCTTATGAAGAGACAAGCCGTACATTCTATGACACTATCCTCACCACTGGAGGCATTGTCCAAAGTGTTAGTATTGACGAGGCCCTCATTGATGTCTCAAATCTGTGCATAGCCGTTGGTGGCAGCGATGGCAAAAGTCACTCGGAAGACAGTATTTACCGTGAGCAGGCGAAGGCCGATGAAATTGCACTAAATTTGCGAGATGAAGTGAGATCCAGGACAGGATGTAATGTTTCTGTTGGTATTGGTAGCAACATTCTACTCGCCAAGCTGGCTTTACGCAAAGCGAAACCTGCTGGCCAACATCAGATCAAGCCCGAGGAGGTGCTCGGCTTCATTGGCCAACTCCAAGTGCAGGACCTACCAGGTGTTGCCGGATCAATTGGCGGTAAACTGGAGAGTATTGGAGTCAAACTTCTCAAGGATGTTCGTAAGCTTAACAAGGAGAGACTCATCCAAACACTTGGGCCCAAAACTGGCGAGAAGCTATACGAATACTCTAGGGGTATCGACCATCAAGAAGTCGGTGAACAAGTTATTCGCAAATCTGTGTCCGCGGAGGTGAATTGGGGTGTTCGATTTGAGAATCAAGACCAAGCTGATGAGTTCATTGCCAGTCTGTGTGGGGAGCTCCAGAAACGACTCCTGAAAGAGAGGGTAAAGGGCAAACAATTCACCATGAAGGTTATGCGACGCTCACCAGATGCACCTATGGATCCACCAAAGCACCTTGGACATGGCAAGTGTGACACGCACAGCAAGAGTCTTCTGCTCGGCGTCGCAACCAATGCAAAGGAAGTCCTGACAAAGGAAGCTTTGGCTATGCTACGTGGCTTCGGTTTTACTCCTGGAGAGCTTCGCGGTATCGGAATACAGATGACAAAGCTTGAACTCATGAGATCGGCTACGGATGGAACTGTTGAGGGTTCACAACCAAAGTTACAATTCAAAGTCAGGAACGCCAAGCCACCGCAGGTAGCGCGGGCACCACAGGTGGTTGAAGATGATCCGATTCAAGATGACCCAGAGACTCCACGAAAATCCAAGGTATCACCAGGAGATGAGCATGTTGCGTTTGGCGCCGAGCAGCTTAATGCCTCGACGCCTTCTCGACGTCCGCTCAATACACTGGGCACACAATTCATCATGCCTTCGCAAGTCGATCCTAAGGTACTCGATGAGCTACCGGAGGATATACGAACCAAGCTCTTCCGCCAAACTCGACAGTCATCCCCTACGCCTGCAAACAATGCGTTAGCATACGATACGCCAAGCACATCCTCGAGAGCCCTACCTCTCTCTTTGACAACACTTCCTAATCAGTCCCAGCTTGACCCAAAGATTCTCGCTGCTTTACCTGCAGAAGTACGTGCCGAGGTTCTTGCTCATTATGCCAGCAACGAAGCACCTTTTTCTCCTTCGCATAGGCCAAGAGGACCTGATCAAACTATTCTACCTCAGTCACCTCGCAAAAATAAAATCATCGGGATTCCAGCGAACAAGCCTATTGTGCCAGTAAAACGAGGGAGAGGCCGCCCGCCAAGGTCAGCAATGCTGGCTGCAGCCGCACAGGCAAAAACCATTGATAAATCTGGCAGGATGCTCACCCAAGCCAACTTCATATCTCTCAAGAATCCAGCCCGAGAAAACGTGAGCAGAGAGGATTCAGCTGGTTTGAGCGACAACGTCTTTGAAGCACCTACCATCGCCAAACACGATGACCTGGATCCTGACTTCCTTGCTGCGCTCCCCGAAGATATGCGTAAAGAAGTCATTGACCAGCACAACGCAGCAAAACTAAACGCATTTCGCTTCGTGATGTCTAAGAAAACCAAAGCCCCATCGGCCCCCAAACAGCCTAGGCCAGCCCCGAAAATCAAAGTTCCCCGTCCCCCGACAGCAACTTTTACCACACAGAAGCTCTCCACGGAACCAGATCTCCGTAGCGCAATGAGACTCTGGATCAGCGAATTCGACAAGGAGGGGCCCTACGAGGAAGACGTCACAGCATTGATCAAGTACCTCAAGAAAGTCGTGCAAGAAGAGCGTGACATGAATAAAGCAGTCGGTCTCGTCAAATGGGTTGGTTACATCATCAGTGATAAGATGGAGACAAAGGAGGGTTTTGCATGCGAGTCATGGAAGAGATGTCTTGCTACGATTAAAGATGGTGTGAGGAGAGTGTGCAAGGAGAAGGGTTTGGGGAGCGTGTGTTTCGAGTAGTTACGTGATATGTTTTTTTTAATGAAGTGATGCTTTGCAATAGTGTAGATGGAAGGGGGTAATGGTGATACTTTGGTTGTATCACGTATTTTAAATATGTGATTGATCTTTTTTGTCCTCATACGCTAACAATGTGGTTGTTTACATTGGTTGAGTGGTGACCATGTTGTATCAATCTCAATTGATCTCCACGGAAGGAATTCCGAGAAGAGTCGGTCCGAGGGAAATTACAGAGTGACTTATCGATGAGGAGTCGACAGTACGAGTAATGATGATTGGTCTTCGTCTCGAAGCGTGGTCAAGTATTTTGTTTGTATTCACGGAAGTGTGCTCATTTTGGAAGATATCAGGCCAGTGATTTGTCAAGGTGGCGGGTACCATTGCCGAAGTAACATGGTAATTGTACGTCTATCTTTTTGTAAAGGACATGCTTTCAGTGTTCATTTCCTAACTCTCCACAACTCCAAGTCGTACCAGAATTCCAGTATCCATATTGCAACATTGCAGCTATTGGACATTGCTTGATTTCCAGCTTCGCATACCTATCATAATCCCTTTTATCGACTCCCTCCCTATGAGGGACTGTAGCACTTACAGCTACACGAGTTCTGAGCCGGGCCATTGTATTCTGCAGCGAGGTACCAGTCGTCTGGACTGCTAACCGTGCCTGCTTTGTGACAAGCCGTCTGGCAGCTGACAAAGCTGCATGTTCCCAGCGTACAAGGGGGGTTTGCGTAGGATCCTGTGGTACCAGAATTGGCGAAGCAGCCATCGAATGAGGCAGTGAGAGCGGTGATGACGTTGACTGAAGCGGCGAGGAGGAAAGCAGTTGTGAATTTCATGATGGGCGGATTGAGGTAAGGCGGTGGGACGGTGGAATCAGGAGTTTGTTTAGCGGAGGGAAGAGAAGGCGAGGACTGGACTTTGCTTTTATGACCAGAGAGCTGAGTCTTTTGACAAGAGGTATGTATAGTCTCGAGGTAAAATAGGGGATCTGGTTGCATTTATGTACATATGCCTTCACGCCCCTGACTATTGCAGTGTCTTAGCGCTCTGGTTAATACATAAAAAAAGAAGCTAAAAATTATTTGCTCCACTATGAAATGGGGCCCACTTGTGAGTCTAGCCACTTAGCTCACAAGATGGGTAATTGTGCCAAGTTCGAAGTAGGCCATAGCACGAAGACGCGTGGATAGTGAATGCAATCATGAATGATAAAAATAACATGTAGCCAAAGCTGGAGTCCACTATCAAAACTTCCCCTGGTTCTGGAAGCTCATATGCATGATTCTCTTGTTATACAGTTTGTGACTACTGATTGCTAGTATGTTATAAGTAACTCGCGGAGTGGCAGGACTCCGGGACCTCCCGATGATCTTGCCGATTCTGTTTTTAGTGCTGACTCCCAACTTCGCCAGATATATTGCTTACTTCGTAACATCTTGTATTGAACACTTTATCTTCCAAGAACATTGGCATAAGTAGCCGATCGTCCCACCATCTCGTAGGACCCATTTCTGGGTAAATCCTGTTTTTCTATGTATACTCTAGTGATTCCGGGAAATTTTATGCGCAGAGCGGCTTCTGAACTCTTGAAAGAGATTGAATGTTCTGGGTTTACGAGGGCCATATCACTGGGGTAAACAAACGTCATTCAAACACTAATAACAAATCTCATGGTTTCTATCTATAATGTTATCCATGTTAGCTGCGTAATCGTGCTATTTATGTCTTAGCGCTTATAGTTTATAGACGAAAGGCTTTTCTCACAGCTACTCAACAGTTAGCACAGTGTATCATATCCATAGGCTCAAGCCTCTTTCTGTTCCGAGCAATATGGGAAACTTCAGTTTGCGATGCATTCTTAGAAGGTCACATGATCGGGCGACGAAATCCTTACAATTAAAAATAAAATCATTTGGTGCTTCCGATGTGACCATGCGACACGGAGCATTGTTGTCATGATATCATTCATTGGGTATATTTATCGAAGGCTAGCTAATTTACGCGCGCTTGCGTTTATTCAAATACCTCCATATTAACCCTGTTCATCGTCTTGATCATGATTCATAACTCTCTTTCACGTTCCCGCTTGCTAGCAATCACATGGTATACCTGAATCCCTCAAGCCCCTCAATGATCTTGCCACCACTGGCAGCCCTCTTGTTTGCTCTCCAGAACTTGAGGTTCATCAAAAGCGTAATAAAGATAATCATGCCTGCTGAGATCATGCAGGCAATAATACCAGGGACGTACTTGGGAGCGTCCTGGGTCCTGAAAACTGTGCCACCAATTATACCGCCGATGCCTCCGGCACCAATAAGGGTAGCAGAACAGAAAGCTCGCTTCCATTGACCACGAATGTTGTTTGCTTGCCAGGTGAGAATGCAGGGAATGTTGGCATTGGATGCTGCGGTAGCGAGAAAGACCCCTGGGGAATTGTTTAGTATGTGATCTGAAGGCAGAATACGTGATAGAGCTTACCGAAATATCTGACACCAATATTGGAACTAAAGCCCATCATAGGCAGTCCAATAAGAGCAAGGACACCGTTGGCAAGGACCCACGGAGAGCGGATCTGGTACTTGTCACCAGCCCACGCAAAGCCGATCATGACAAATCCAGCGAATACGTAGGGAGGGGCAATCAGACAGTTAGAAGCAGCAGTGCTGAAACCCATTCCGTCTTTAAGAATGATGGGAAGGAAGTAAGCAATAGCGTACGTGATCGTAGTGGTAAACATGAAGATTAGTGCGAAGCCCCAGACCTTGAGGTCCATGCCACCTGCAAGGTACTTCTTGAGGTTGAATTCCTCGGCGACGACATCGTTACGGTCCTGCTCGATTCTTGCAACGATGAAGTCCACCTCTTCCTGCTCGAGGAAGTTCTTTTGAATTTTGCTCGATTTGGCAGCCAACTCTGGGAAATCAACAATATAACACCATCCGATCAAACCGATGACGACGGTGATGATCCCCTGCAGTATGAAAATCCAACGCCAGCCAGACAAGCCTGGGCCGAATCCGACGGGAGTTTTCGGCGCTTTCTTTGTTGGGCCATAGTGCTGGCCGAGCCACTCCGCTGCTTGGTAACCATGACCGTTGAGTAGGGAGAAGAGATAGCCAAGGATGCCGGAGAAGGCTGAAGACAACATTCCGATGAGGAAAAAGAAGGTGTTGCGTTTTTGGAGCTCGTACCGTTTATACCAGCAAGAAAGAAGGTACGCGGAGCCTGTTGATGTTAATACTTCATCTCACTCTTCCTTTCTAATACTCAGGGAGAATATTTATATACGTACCAGGAAAACAACCGGCTTCAAAGACACCTAGCAGAAGACGAAGAGGAATCAGAGAAGTCCATTCCTTGACGAAACCAAAACCGATCATGACGCTTCCCCAAAGGACCACGATGGATGGCAAAAAAAGCTTTGGACCCCATTTTCTCAGGACAACAGTAGCTGGGGGCTGCAGTGCAACATAGGAGATGAAAAACAGCAAGACAATGATGCTGTATTGCTCGCCTGTGAGTTTCAGGTCGACACCCATGCCTGCCACCATGGCGACACCAAGATTGGTACGGTCCATGAGCGAGACACAGTACAGACAGCCGAGAGTGGGGATAAGCCGAAAGTCCACCTTGCGAATAATCTTCTTTTGTTGCTCGGGGGTAAACCGCTCGATAGCAGCATCGTTAGCTGACGTGTCGGACTCGACACGTTCGATGGCGGCAACATCGCCTTTCTCGTCGGCGAAAGAGGACATGATGGTATTGGTTTGTCTAACAATCTTCTGGGTATATTACAGAAGCAGTGGTGCTCAATTACCCCGTCAAGTGCTTCAGGGGTCGACCACTTTGATGAAAGAGGAGCGAGGGCGCAGCTACTGAAAAAGAAGGAGCTGATGATGAGGACAAAAACCCTCAGTTCACTGTGGGATAACTGCCTTCATATACTCAAGGGCTTCCCCAGATTGTTGAGCTTCATCTTCCCCAGATTCCTCCGCCCTCGGCTCCACCGTACCCCAGACTCATCAGCACGATCAGCTCGTATGTCCTTACCCGATATGAGGAATAGGTTCTCCTGAACTATCGCTAGCAAGTCCCATTAGCCTACGCCCGATTCGATTTTGAAGAGGTAGAGTTTCGGAAGTAGCTTACGGTAGCAGTTAGCAGACCCGCATACCAAGAAGGACCGAACAGTTGGCAGGCTGTGGATGCGCCACTCTGGCACTGACAGCATGCCGGCAACTACTCCGGGACACAACAATAGCGCCTTGCGGAGCGATTTTGATGGTCACGCTCAGTGGTACCCCGCGTGGGATTGCGGCGGACTGCCATTAAGTTGAGCAGGTTGTGACAGGCTGAGGTCTCGGCGGACGCATAGTGCGCAATCCGCCATACGCTACAGGCACGAGGCATTAGCCTAGACTCTTGGCTGAGCTTAGTACCCGTGTGCCTCTTGCCGATTTCTCGGTCTTTACGTATAGTCAGTGCATTATCCGCTGGTGTTGATGTTGGGTACAGAGACAAGATGTGATGGAGGTGCGGAAGCTTACATCTACGTACCCTTTGTGCATAAGACGGGGTACAGTATTCGATACAGCAAGTTAGGGCCTGATCTGACAAGGTAATCAGACACGATTATCCTCCGAACATCAATGTCTATTGAAGAACAGATCACCGAGATGTTTGCGTTGCTATGTGATGAAGCCTGAACATGTACATAGCGGAAACTTACCGCTTTCACGCATTCCGCGTATGATTACCCCACCTCCAGTCAATCCACCGATGATCGCATTGTACATCGCACCGAAGGAACGGCAACTTGAGCGGGAGTTGGAACGTTTTTCGCGAGCTTGGCTTGACATCATATCAGTTAGTTCCACTCTCAACAATATTTGTTCATCATCTTCTTCTTATTCTTCTTTCTGCCAAAGCCCCTCCACTGTCATTTTGTACAGGCATCATTCCATTTCTGCTACCCGTATGCCATATGTTAGCATCACTGGGCCCTGTATTTGAGTTAGATGTCGTCGAAAGTGCCGAGGCTCATAGTCAGACGCTTGTTCGTCAAGGTTTCGTGGCGTCTTGGGAGGATCAGAAAACTACAGAGCATACATGCCTATTTAGGACAAACTTTGCCACCTGAGGTATACCTATCAAATCAGTACCTTAGCGTGTTGATATTTTCGGTGTCGCGTCCATTATAGGTTGGTCCAAGAGGAAACATGTTGTCAAGGGCACGGCCGAAGGGAAAGCCTAGATGAAGAGAACCAGGATGAAAAAAGGCAAAAATGGCACGCGCCAGACATTCAAAAATCTCACACTAGAGGCTGAAGAACGGCGATTGCCCGAGCTAGGTTGTCTCGTGGTAAAATCGCCGGGGTACCGCTGAGTCGGGTTGCGCAGCGCTCGAGACGATGGCTTGAATCTAGACGTCTTCAGATCGAAGAGACCTTGTCTTAATTAGTAGATAACCACGTGGAGGGAAACGCCGGTGAAGCTCCCGTAGTCCGTTCATTGGTGCTCAAGACCCAGTTGTATCACTCAGCTCAAAAGCATGGGCATGCAAAACGCAAACTGTCAATTTTCTTTTGAGCAACACAAAACTACTACTTGAAATCCTTTTCGCTTAGGGAATCCTCAGTCTTCTGTATCCTTTCCCAGGTCTCACTCCACTTCTCCCACTCCCCATCCGGCAGCTTTCCCTGAATCGGCAGTCGTCCGCCTTCCATGGTTCCAAAACCGGTTACCCTCTTTACAGCCTCTTTGATGCCGACGACGCCATATTTGCCAATGAACTCTTCTGTGGTGCTAACAGTGTATTGCAATTCCTTAATCTTCTTGAGGTTCTCATCGGTGATGGGCCGTGTCTCGGCAAGCTTCATCAAGGAGCATACAGTCTTGGGATATATGGCGGCGAGCCCGTCAATGACACCAGCTGCGTCAAAAATAACGATGGGGCCCAGTTGTTGACCGAGGCCAGAGTAGACCCGGAATTTGTTGTGATCGATTTTCGGGTCTAGCGAGACCTGGTTGTGCCACGACACGACGGCATGCGACATCTTGCAGCCGACAATGTTGGGGTGTTGCGCAAGGACGCGGTAGGTATCGGGCGTTACCATAACTCCGTTTGTCACGCCGGGGTAGTTGTAACTAGCATTTGTTAGTTCATATCCTCGCTCTGTGTCTTTCATGGCCTACATCAATATGGGTAGTGGGCTCTTGTCTGCAACAACAGTGAACCACTCCCTGATTCCCTCTTGACTCGCTGCTGCACCGAAATACCCCGGTGCAAGCACCAGGCCCCATTGTGCACCTGCTTTCTTGAAGTCCTCTAGCCACTCCAATGTCTCGTCAACACTGTTGATCAGTGTTCCTGCCATGATTGGGTAGTCCTTGAAGCCCGCGTCTTCGAGTCCTTTGCGCACCCCAGACACGACATCGATACGCTCTTGTCGCGACATGTGGATTGCTTCACCGGTCGAGCCGAGCAGAACAAGCCCGCGCACTCCATTTTTTGCAAGAAACACTGAATGTTCAATCTGTGTCTGGACGTCTACGGCGGCTTGGATGGTGCTAGATGCAGACTTGGGTTTGAAAAACGTCGGGACAGGGACGAAGACGCCGGTTGGTGGTGATAACGTCATAGTAACGGTTCTTAAGGGGAACTTGGTTTTGCTTTTTTTCCGATGTCGAATTCCCTTGCAGAGCGAACTGATATATGTTAATTGAATTTTGATGCTGTCCGAGGGTTTTCGCACTTTATTGCGTACCGGGCGCGTTAGCAGCTCGGGATGCTTTGCCCCAGTTCCCGAAGTTGCGTGCCCCGCGGTGGAGTAGATGACCCCGCGCTCGCTGCCGCTCGGGATAGTATCGCGAAGAGTACTTGACCGTAGAAGCGGTTTAATTGGACAGAAAAGCACTTCGGGTTTTGCCGTGTAGTTACTTTCGTGCCGAGGGCTGGCCCTTTTTAAATGTCACGTCTTCTTTGATATAGTCGCTCGAAACGTTATTTAACGCAGCATCGACCAGATTTATTACAAAAGACTACATCCTGAGAATTAGACAATGGGAAAGATTGCAACCATCGAGTACTTCAGAGTACCACCGCGATGGCTGTTTGTCAAAATCACCGATGTTGATGGGAACTTCGGCTGGGGTGAAGCCTCCCTTGAAGGCCACACGCAAGCAGTCGAAGGATGTCTAGACGCCTGGGCCGCGCGCTACGTCGGTTTTGAAGCGGAGTATGACATTAAATCTTTCCAATTCAATACTAGCTAACAATACTTTAAGTGACATTGAACACATCTGGCAGATGTCTTGGCGTACCAGCTTCTACCGTGGCGGCCCTGTCTTCATGAGTGCATTGGCAGGTATCGATATTGCTCTCTGGGATCTAAAGGCGCGAAAACTGAACGTACCAATCTATCAGTTGCTGGGAGGTAAAGTCCGAGACCAGTTGAAAGTATATGCTTGGATCGGTGGGGATAGACCAAACGATGTTAAAGAGCAGGCGTAAGTGAAAACCAGAAGAACAATATCTAAGACAAATTGGACTTTTAACAAATTTCCTACAGCCTTAGCCGTAAAGCACAAGGATTTCACGCTGTAAAAATGAACGCCACTGAGGACATTGGTTGGCTGGATAGCCCTTCAAGCCTCGAATCCGCTGTCGACCGTCTCAAAACAGTCAAAGAACTAGGAATGGACGCAGGCATGGACTTTCACGGCCGCATCCACAAGCCAATGGCTAAACAACTAGCCAAAGCTCTCGAACCGCATCGCCCCTTGTTCATTGAAGAGCCGCTGCTATCAGAGCACATTGGTGGTATCACTTCCCTACACACCCAAACATCCATCCCCATCGCACTCGGTGAGCGTCTCCACTCACGCTGGGACGTACGCCCTTTCCTTGAAGCAGGCTGCGTCGATATTCTGCAGCCCGACATTTCGCATATCGGCGGTATATCAGAGATGAAGCGAATAGCAGCTATGGCGGAGGCCTACGATGTAGCTATTGCTCCTCACTGTCCTCTTGGCCCAATAGCACTCGCAGCCTGTGTCCAAGTCAATTGCACGTTGTCGAATTTTACAATTCAGGAAATGAGCCTTGGTATTCATTACAACGCTGGTAGCGAGGATCTTACATCATATACAAAAAACCCGGAGGTATGGGATGTGAAGGACGGTTTTATTCGCTTGATGGAGGGACCAGGTTTGGGTATTGAGGTCGACGAGGAGTGGGTGAGGAGGGAAAGTAAGGAGGCCAAGGCTTGGTTGGTTCCTGGATTCATTGGGCCTGGCGGTGAGATTAGAGAATGGTAGGTGCAGTCAGTTGTGACACTCAAGTTCAAGGAGTAGGTAGTGAATTTCATCTATATCCCGACTTGGCTAGTTCGCCATTTGCTTCGGCCCACTTATTCGGTATTCTATCATACACAAACAGCATGAACCATGATTTTTACACCGTTACCAAGATCCAGGTACCCTCAACAAATAATCATCGAGTGCTTTCAAAAAGCTCCATGATTTCCTGATTTACTGCTCTCCGACCTGATACAATGTTTGAACGCTGGGGGTTGAGAGGTGTTGGCGATTCTCCCAAAAGTCCAGAACAATGCCTTATGGGTGGGGAAAGACTGGTCGGTCTGAGCTCACCCGGCAGGAAAGGCGTCGGAGGGATGATGATATCCTGTCCATGTTCAGAACAACCAACCTTCTTCGTTCCTGCTTGTGGTGACACTTGTGTGACGCACGATCCTGAATGTTCCGCCACAGTCTCTTCTAATGCCTCGTCATTGTATACAGTGCCACCCCAAAGCAGTGCCTCCCATGGCCATACGAATCCCTCGTCCTCCCATGGCCAAGTGTGTGTTTCGACGTACTCGAGCAGTGCGACAACAAGGAATATGATAGTCCCCACACCAAGGAAACCAATCTGTTTTCTTCATTGGCGCTTTGATTCTGTGGAAAGCCATACGTTGGTTGACGAAATCACCTACCACTGCTGAGCTCAATTCCTCTGGTCGCGGGAACCACCCTGGCTGCTCAAACTCAGCAATGGCGAAGACCAAGACGACAAAGAGACATAGGCATGAAGAGTAGTTGTTTGCAAGAGTTGTGGATATAACGCGGTATTCTGATTGGAGAGGATCAGGGAGGAAGAAATCAACGATTGTTGTGGTAAAACGGTGAAGCAGCGTCGACGTTGCGACAGTTCCGGATTCTTTGTCGCCAGTTTGTAGCACTGGAGCTGTAAAATGCGACATTGCGTCAGTGGAAAAGTCATCCGTCACTATCTCAACCAAAGCGGAGACGCTGTCGAAAACGTTGATGTAGTGATGAGTGGATCAGTTAGCTGTGAAGTGCACCTTCCAATGACGGAAACCAAAATCCGAAAGTAGCTAGAGGAAAATTCCCGAAGCAACAGCCAGTGAATGTGAAAGTGAACCGTCATTGAAACTGCAGCTAGATACTTCTACTGTGAGTGCACACCACCCAGTCTTTCTTTAATCTTAATTAGAGCGTTCGAGACCTTTCGTATATACCTCTTCGCCTATTTTCTTAAGCAGGTACTCCTAGCGTGGTCATATTACTCAACAACGCATCGATACAATCAAACATTGTATTGTAAATCTTATTGTAGTGAGGGCGCTCGTTAGAGCAAACAAGACGCTCGAGTTACACAACAAGGCTTAGTAATGGATAGTTAAGCGCCCTTGGGCTACGCCGCAATTCAAGCTCCTGGACGTTACCCCTCCTCTTACTTTCACCCTACAAAGTACTTATTGAATGCCCTGCTTATTGTGACTGAGTATATCCCTCAAAATCGGCTTTTGATTCTCGCGACACCAGCTGACGCCAATCACTACTTCCTCCCGCGTTTTCCTTCTTACCCTCAGCCTCGTCATCAGCTGCACGCGCCACACAAGTCTAGTCAGAAAACTTGCACATCATTACTTTCTACATACTTCCACGGCATGAAATGGATTTCACACAGTATCAGCACTACATTCCGCAATTCATGCTGCGAAGATTTGCCGTAGATCAACCAATAAACCCTTCTAAAGTTTCGAAATCCGACCAAAAGAAGGAGAAGGACCGTTACAAATACAACTGCACCATCAAAGTCTTAAATTTAGGAGCAATTCCACCTGAGATAACGGATGATCTTGTGCGAAAGACTTTTGGTCGACGAGGTATGTACAACAACGGCCTTGACGACCGGATTGAAAAGAAGTTGGCAAATATCGAGCAAAACGTATCCCAAATTATAGCACGAGTTTTGGATGCACATAAAGCAGGCAAGGATGGAATATCTCTCGTGCGCTCTGAAAAAGACTTGTTGCGCAAGTTCCAGTTCGTTATGAGATACCGTTCTCCAATCTTCTTTGATCGCTTCAATCATCAAACCGCCGAAGATTACAATTCAGACGATAAGGAAGAGTTCAAAAAATACATGAGAGACCTTGAAGAATCACGTCCACTCGATGTATGGTTCCACAATCTGAAAAAGATGATCGATATAGCTATGGATCCAGAGTGTCATTGGGTAGAGGAACTTCGGAAGGCGATCTACCCCAATGATGCGGATTGGTTCATTGAAAACATTCAATCCATGTATATGGCCTTTGTTACGCCCTTAGACCCCAAGGAAGAATTCATTATAACAGAAAACGCATTCGGCATTCATGAAGGCCCTGTTAGCTACGTGGACAGGTTCACAGGCGAGAAGAAACGAATAGCCTACCCGGAGTTTCATTTGCTTACAGTCATCTCACCCCGACTCGCTATCGTTTTCCGTAATAAAAGTTTGCCAGAGCCACACGAAGACGACGATCTTGAGCTCCGTAAGCTGAAGTTACTCAGGTTGGCTACGATGGCACAGATGCACGCGGATCCAGAGAACGTAACATCCTTACTCGAGGATCTTCCTATCGCAAGAGCTCGACGGCCCGAGCTGGCTGAAGATGCCGACGGAGTGCTGAGAATGGATGACAAATTCGACTTCGTTTTCTTTCCCATCAACAGCAAACATGTTCAGACAATCAATATGATGATGCTAGACGAAGCATACGAGATTGAAAAATTAGCTTTTAGGTCCGAGGCAGCACTTCTAAAGGCCATAGAATTCTATCTGGAATATCCGTGTCTGACACGAGGACTTTATTCGAGGAAAACGGTCAGCTACAAACCTGATGACCCGAAGTTGAGACACTTGAAAAAGATGGAGCATGTAGCCCGTATGTTGGGGTCTAGTGCGACCGCCAAGTACCATGTGGATCCGCTCTGGGAAGGCGGCCATGCAATGCGCCTTGAGATTGCTGTTGCTCTGGTTTTGGCGACCACAACAGACACACCGGAGAAGAACCCTATCGTCTTGGGAACAGAAATTCTTATGAACACACTGAAGAAGATGGAAACCAACATCATGGTGAAGGCTGGACCAGATCAGATCCAAGAAAGTATGTCTGTGTTTCCGGATGCGGTGTATCGATGCATTCAAGAAACCTGTAGAAAAAAACCGGGTCCGCGTACCAAACATCTTCTCAAAATTGACCGGCGATCATTGATACTTTCATGGGTCGATATTTTCAGTGAGGCAATAGGATATTCGGAAAATGGCAATGTTACAGCCATGCGCGAAAAGTTAAGCCAATTCGTCAATAATTTGTATGCCGAAACTACTCGGGAACCAGAGAGACCTATGAAGTCCGCATCAGGGCTCTCAGTACAGGCTCCCATATCCCAGCAAGATTCCTCATCGGGATTTTCCAGAAAGGGCCTCAACAGAGCCTTTGAACACATCGGACAGGATATGGAGAGCGAGGAGACCCCATCATCTGCGCAGAGCCTGGCAGATGAATCATTCTCACATCCGGAGGCCGATGTTGTTGAAGGTAATGAGGAGAGTGATTCAGCACAACCACCTGAAGAGATGGTAACTCAAGGCGACGCTTCTCTTGGCAATGCACTCACTGTTGCACCAGCCGTGCTGTCGAACAATCGGGACTCGAACACTACTCCATCGTTTTCGAAATTCGCTATTTTCGCTTTTTTCTACATATTTCTTGCTTTGCCCCTCATGATACTTGCTCTTGTTCTTATGGGCCTTGCTTTGGCCGTTATGTCAATTGCTTTGACTCCCCTGGTGCTTACGTCGCGTAAGGGAGGAGGAGGTGCGTTACTCGACAAAGAGCCTTTCCGTACCAATTTGCTAATGTGTGGTTTCTGTACGTTTGGCATTATCCTGTGGTGGTTTGCTTATTATTGGCATTTACTGCCAAATTGGCTGCCCAATGAGCCTCCCTCTATCTCCAAGGTGGCTGCCTTGCTATTTTGTTTTGCTGCCAAAATTATGATTCCTGAAGACCCATGGTGAAGCGTATGGTCTTAACAGAACGTTGGGCTTTTGCTTTTGTCAATAAGATACGTTTTACGATGACAATTGAAAACAAAGATTCTCGAGTACTTGCTATTGGACGCTATTGACTGGAGGGTGCGCTCGTTGTATTTGAACAGGGACAAAGAGATACGAAAATCTTGCCGGTCAGGATAAAGACGGCCGTGCGGCAATGTTATCTTTGATTGGGAGACTGGAACATGGGTCCAGATATGGAATGGTGTTGGGGTGAATCGTAACATCTCGGCTGCCTTGCTGGATATGGCAATGTTGGTTCGACATGCGTTCCCTTGTGTGCCCCTTGAAAAGCTGCATGCGTACAGACGATACAGACGCGTCGGTACGCTCCACATGCACGTCATTGTGCATGAGGTCACACGAGCACTTGCTCCTTCAAGCCAGACGTCGGTATTTTGTTTTTAAAAACGAGATAGCGCGGTCAGCAAAATTCAAGTTAGTAGGGCCGATTTTGAGTCGCGGATGTGGGACCGGCAGCAGCACCCATGGTTGGCGGACTGCATATACCCGGACAGTGTTGACAGCTCCCCATTATTAAATGTCCAATTCTCCAGAAATTCGGGTTCCTGCATTCTTGCTTGCTCGCTTCCCTAGTTGCTCACTTTTTGGGGGATCAAGAAACGTCAATCATTGGAAAAAAAATGCGGACTTCAACCCTCAACACAGCCCTATGGCTGGCATTTGCCAGTTCTTTTGGCGCAGCAACACCCCATTATGGCGCTCATCACAAAACCCAGCTCAAGCACTGGCCTGCCGATGCTGCCAAGGCGCTGAATACCATGATTGCGCGCAATGCAAACCAGAGCAACTTTGCGGTGTTCGACATGGACAACACGAGCTGGCGCTACGACATTGAGGAGTCGCTTCTTCCCTTCCTGGAAAACCGCGGTATCCTCAAGCGTGAAAACCTGGATCCTAGCCTAAAGCTAGTTGATTTCAAAGATACGGCAAATTTCACGGAATCGCTTTTCAGCTACTACAACCGTCTTTGCGACATTGACGCACTCCTCTGCTATCCGTGGGCAGCGCAAGTGTGGTCTGGCTTCACACTTCGTGAGCTAAAGGGCTACGTCGACGAGCTAATGGCGTACAACTCGACCATCCCTACGAAATACTGGGATGGCGACGAAGTAGTTTCCAGCAGCGTTCATACACCCCAAGTTTTCCGGGGTCAGGCGGAACTATACAATGCGCTAATGGAAAATGGCATTGCGGTCTACATCATGAGCGCCTCGCATGAGGAACTTGTACGCATGGTGGCCAGCGATCCAAAGTACGGATACAATGTCCCGCCGGAGAATGTTATTGGCGTCACTACGGTCCTCAAGAACACTACATCAGGCGCGGTCACAAACGCACGGGAGCAGATCACCGCAGGCACATACAACGAAACCGCCAACCTTGACCTAGTTGTGACTCCTTACCTCTGGACCCCCGCCACCTGGTTTGCGGGTAAATGGGCTGGTATCCTGACCTACATCGATCAATGGAAGCGCCCGATTTTGGTCGGTGGTGATACGCCTGGAAGCGATACGTACATGCAATTTCACGGCGTAGATGTCTCAAAGGGTGGTATTCATCTGTGGATCAACCGCAAGGATTCGGTCTTGAAGCAGCTGCAAGAAGAGATCAAGAACAATACTCTTGCGCAGATTGCGAATGGACGCGAGGTCACCGCAGACAAGAACTGGGTCATAGTTAAGCCAGAGGAAATTCTGTAAATAATATATGTAAGGCTCAAGAGTGGCCCAAGAGCCGATGAATAAAGGAATATAACTGTTGAAAGTCGATGGACAGAGAAGAAGAGTGTTTAGTGACGCGTGCATGTCCAAGCGCGCTAACTAGTAGTAGTAACTAGTAGTAGTAGCTGACATAATCGCTCTGTTGGACTCACTCCCCTTTCTCAAACTCTTTTGCTCCTGCCATCTCCTACCCCTCAGCTCTACCCACTACAAATTGACCTCAACTGACCTGGTGCGTAAGAACATACACTACGTGGCGAGTTTCAGTAGATACAGGTACGTCGCAATCTTGATCAGCTCATCACAAATTCCCAACTGCACATGACGATCCCACATTACACTTGAACCGAGTGTCTCGAAGTCCCGCTCAACTTTCGCACATGTTGTGGTTTGTGTATACTAGCCCGGATGTGAGAGGGCTGTAGCGGACTTGTGACACCATGCGCGAGTAGAAGATAGCTCTGACATTCCACAAAAAACTATTGTCCCATCAGATGAGTAAATGGCATTTTTGTTAACAATGATTCAGGTACCTCTGGGTACGCGCCTCCCGGTTTCCGGGGATATCAAGCGCCAGATATCTATGATGCACAAAATCAGGAATGGAAAACTCTTTCCAGTTCATTCGGTAGCCACAGCCCATCATTCTTCAATGAGGAGGCCGCTCAACTTTGGTGGCTCCTCCTTCTCATCCTCTTCTACAGCTGGCTGCAAAATCTTGGGCGGCGGAGGGTTAGGCCAGGGTTCGCTATACCAGAGCACGCGCTTGTGCCCCAAGAGCTGCTGCTGCAACACTGCGCTCAAGATTTGCATTGCACTGACCCCGCCAGCTCCTTTAGCAAGGGCCTTTCCGCTTGTGTAATGCTGGATCATGTTGCCGTTGCAATCAGAGATATCTTCGTTCACGGTTGGTGAATTCAACACGAACTCACGGAAACCAGGAAAGCCCATTGCATCATCACACGGTATGCCGACGATTGTCTCTGGCGTCTTGTTGAAGTCATAACGAACGTATTCGGAGAATGCGCGCTGTTCGTGGCTCCACTGTGTTTTCCAATTTGCGCAACCCTTATAGCGTGTCTCAGTTGTGCAATCACGCCATGCTTCGAGCATTTCCAGTGTGGTCGTAGAATTTTGCGCAACGATGAAGCCACCATTCAGCACGCGCAATCCCATGCTATCTGTGCTAATGGATGAGCCGTTGCGAATCTCCTCAGTGTCCCATGGAAGAGCCATGGATGTCTCCTTCTGGATACCCCAACGATTAAACATCCATTCAAGTGGGAGATCCAGATGTGAAACCATAGCGTCAGCGTCCATGTGGACGACGAATTGATATTTGGGTAACAGCTCGCGTATTACATGGGGTCTAATCCATGTGGAGTAGTGGCCTTTCAATTCACGCGCGTGGTAAAACTTATAATCATACCCATGGATGGCGGCGTACAAGTAATGGTTCAAGATCCCCGTGGACACCAAATCGGTGCCTCCTTTTTTGAGGGCTTCCCAGTTCATCCTCTCGGGGTTGAAAATGTTGTTCTTTTCGGTTGGGGCACGTGTATCAATGTCGACAATCAAGATCTTCCTGCCCAAGGGCTTTTTCCATATCGGGTGCCCTCCTTCGTAGTGTTTACCGGCTGGATCCACGTAGCTGCGCGCAGCGGGATCGTGTGTTACAGATTGGAAAATCTGAGCTAGTCTTTCTCGATCGGTGAGTGTGGATGTTCTGAACACGCTATTAGGAAATCTGTCTCCAGCTCTAAATAGGAACCTCTAGGCGGCGTACCTGTATGGTGTTTCAATCAGTAACGTCTCATGATAGCCGGCCATGTAAGTAAACGTTGCGATGAATACAAAAATTGTGAAAACCACAAAGCAGGTACGCTGAGTGGCCAACATTGTTTGCAAAAATGAGTATAGGTGCCGGGTGGCTACGACACGGTCGGACAGAGAAACAAACCACAGGGCGAAAATGAATAGAAAAGGAGCGGAGATCACGATATCTTACGTAGCGGACAACTCAATTGTCTTATCAAAGTGAGCTTTAAAGAATGGATGTTGCCGACATCCCAAACGATCATCCTGATCCGCAGCTTTAAACTTTGATTAGATACGAAGAAAGATGAGGCCATTGGGCCTTGCGTACATATTTCAAGCTGTGAAGCTGACCGGCCCGGAACGGATATGACAGAACGATCATATGCGTAGATCGCTGCGCGGCGACGCACAAAACACTCATCTTGCTCCTGCAAATTCTATGTTCCATTTCGAGACACACAACTACAAGAGTTTCCTTCGCAACAACCCACGTACTAGTTGTACCAGAGAAAACAAAACAGCATAGTCTGGGTTGTATCATAATATATTCAGGAAGCATGGACACTCCTGAACAATTGTTCACGGCTCAGTTGTAAGCAGATCTACATAAGATTACACGTAATACCAACACCCTCTAGTGCAAAAAGTGTCGCACTGACTCCAGTACCCCGATCAAGCGTATCCAGCAATCGATGACATGGGCCAAGCAAACGTTCGCGTCTTTTAAGTGTGACAATGCAGTTAATAAGCTTACCTGAGCATTTTCGCTTACATTTTGCTTCTTGTCAAGCTCAATTCCGCATTCTTATAGACGATGAGCCAACATAATGTAAGGTACATGTGTCCCTCTTTTTTTTCTCCCTCTCATCTTCTTTCTGGGCTATTAATGAGGAGGATAAGAGGGCCAGGCAGCATGTCCTCCTATCCCTACCTTTTCTATTCTTGAAGGATAGCAAATTCCGCAATTCTAAGATAAGCCAAGTCCATTTTAAACTACACCGATGATAGCCCCGAGGCCGTGTGATCTCCAGGAGATTGGCTGATGAGACGACATGGGGGTGTGTGATCCGTAGGTTCGGGATACTGCGAAGATTGACACCCGCGCAGCTAGACGGCACGAGTGGATCAGTCCATAAATGTCAATGGGGAGAGTCGTGTCGATCGAGCATTTGGGTGCATGGGTGCAGGTTGTAGTGCATGGGCCGTTCTACTTTGCGATATTAGTACGTTCAGTTTTTGCATGTTGCTAGAGGCTTTTCTTTGCGGACAAGCGGTGATGCGTTGATTAAAACACGAGTTCACAATGTGGAATAAGTATGTTGACAAACTCGAAGGTAAGTAGGTAAAAAAAAAACTCGCATTGGCACTTTTTGCGTACGGAGTTGACAGGACAATTGTTCAAGTGAGATATGCCACAATGATCAGCCGAGCAGATAGTATACTACTAAACAAGCCCCATCAATGATCAACAAAAAAAGGATCCACCAACTCCAAACTCCCATCGATAACCCAGTATTTTCGTTTCCAAAGATGTCAAAATCTGAAGCCGAAATCCCGCTCAAACCATCCTTCCACCCCTAATTCCCCACATCACCATCTCTCCCATTCCTCTCCCCGTCCGCGCCACCTCTCCTCGTCCGCTCCACCCTCAACTTCTGCTCCAAAACCTCCTTAAAGCCCTCCTGCACCACTCCAAACAACACCCCAGCACTTGCTCGGTGCTCCACCTCTGCCAACCCCTTCATAACACACTCATTCAACCGATGCGAATACTTGGGACTCGGTCTGCGGCGTCGAAACCAAAGCGCCGTCTTATCCTCGCCGCCCAACTCCGGGTCCCTCAGACTAGGCACCTCAGCGTCAGTATCAAGATTAATCGGCGTGACGCGTCGCGGTGCCTTGGCAGCCCAGTAGTTCCTCTTTTGCGGTTCCGAATATGTGGAGGGAAGGGGCGGGTCGCTGTGTGTTGCGAACCAGTTCGCTTCCACGACTGCGGGATCGACTATCGGGGGGAAGTTGTGCGCGAGTTCGTGCAGGATAGCTGCGATGCCCCAGACGTCGCTGGCGGGGGAGAGCTGCTTGGTTTCCCAGGTTACCTCGGGCGGCCAGTAGTGCGTTGTGCCGATGTAGCCTGAGGGGTTTGGGTGCGCTGCGTTGTGGTAACCTGCCATACCGAAGTCTGCGAGTTTGAGGTCGAGGGAGGACCAGTCGGGTGCGAGGCCGAGGCTCTTCACGAGTATGTTTTCGAATTTTAGGTCGCGGTGTACGATGGGGGTCCAGGGGTGGCGGCCGGAGGGGTGCGTGGGGGAGATGCCGTGGTGGAGGAAGGCGAGAGCGCTGAGGAGTTGGGTGTAGGTGGACCACATGAAGGGTTCCGAGAAGGTGGGTTTGTTTTGGTCGATGCTTAGGCTTCGGAGCATGTAGAGGTCTCCGATGGAGCAGTGTTCGAGGAGAATGGAGACTTGGGTTGGAGATGGTACCTTTTCGTAGTGCCCGAGGTATCTCACGATGCAGTCGTGAGAAGGCAAGTTGCTGAGAATTTGGATCTCAGGGGAATTTCGGGGGGTATGAGCCATAACCTTTACTGCAATAACGGTGTTGGTTGGGATGTGTGTCCATTGCTCGACGCAGCCTTGTGAGCCCTCCTGGAGCGGACCATCGTACTTATGGACTTTTGGGAAACCAGCAGAAGGGTCTTTTGGGTCGGGACGCCTTCGAAAGGGAAGCAAGATGCACGGCATTGTGATTTTGCTGGTTGGAGATTGGGTTACTGGTAGTTGGGGTTGCAGTCTTGATTTGGTCTGGACTCGGAGCAAGAATGGGTTTTTGTACTGTCGGCAATCGAGCTAAAGAAAGGTGAATGAGAAGGTAAGAATGGGTCTTTCATTGCTATTAATTGTCTTCAGGATTAATTAGGTAGAAAATTGGCTTTCATTATGTCGTGGTTTGCGAAGGAGTGAACTTTGGTAACTGCGATGTTTTGGGTCTGAGCTTTGGGTAGCTGCCTATTCAAATTGCAGATGATTGTCAGCAGAACCTTGAAATGTTGGTAGCGTGGCCTTGATAGAAGTCACTTCTTCCAGATAGAGTAAGAAGTGAATATTCTTTAGCGTGCTTGAACTTGATGCACAGATGTGTTAGAGAACGTAGATTCTCACATTTTCTTCATCGCACATTCTTCGCATGTCTTAATACAAATTCAGATAAATTGTGAAAACTATTGCACTCTTATTCCAGTTGCTTTGGTTTTCACTAATTCTCATCTTGTGCATGTGACTAGATGAAGCAGAAGTGGATCAGGTATCACACAACCTTATTCTCTACTCTATCCATCTAACGGCAACAGGACTAAATAGGATTTTTCGAGGTAAATTGAGTTATACCTATGTGTCTCTTTTGTTGATAAGTTACCAGAGGGGAAGCTCTTTAGTGTATCGAAGAGCAAAGAGAGTGGAGGACTCAGGTTTCCATTCACTCAATAATCAGTACGTCGCAGTCAAGTCAACTTTTGCATTCACCAAATATCCATGCATATTTTTTCACTTTTCACTCAAATCCGATACACCCCTCTAATTAACAAACAAAACCGAAATCTTCCTACACCACACCAATTCCACACCTTCAAACCCCCCACGCCTTCTCCCTCCTCTCAAACTCGGCAACCTCCGCCACCCAATCCGCCCTCTCCTTGCCAAAAATCTCCCCAATAATATAAATCGTAGCATCGATACCCGAGCTCACTCCGCCGGCAGTCACAATGCGCACGCCCCCATCCGTCGTACCCGCATCCACATACCGCTGCCTCACAACGTTGACCTTGGACTCGCCGCCTGCAGCCTTATCCGCAATCACCTTGAGCAAATCATAGCTGAGATGGTGCGTTGTCGCCGTGCGGCCCGCAAGAACACCAGACGCAGCAAGTAACAGCGAACCCGTGCACACGGACTGGAGGAACCTCTTCCCAGTCTCCGCGCGCGGTTTCGCAGCCGCGAACTTTTGGATCAGCGAGAGCAGCTGCTTGCCGGGCTCCGTGGCGATTAGGTCCGTGATGGTTTTGTCGTGGGCGCCGGGGATGACGAGGATGTCGTAGTCAGTGATTTGGTCAGCGATTTCGGCGAAGGTCTTGTTGGGTTGGTAGACGAGGGCGGGCGAGCCGGAGACGACGGGGCTGGAGTGCGCGAAAGATGTCACGTCGAAGGGGAAGGTGGCGTTTTCATCCAGGGTGTCGCTGTGGCTGTACATTTCTGCGGGTCCGGAGAAGTCGAGGAGGTCGGCTTGGGGGTAGAGATAGATTGCTACTTTGAATTGAGGCATTTTTGGTGGAGTGGTTGAATACTTTGGAATGTTCTGAACGATGGATGTGTATTGGAATGTAAAATTTAATTGTGTGTTGTTGTTGATATTTTGAGTTGGTATGTGGTCGCTTTTTATGTGAGCAAGTGTTGTCGGATCGGATCAAGAATCATGATCCGGCTTCCGTGATGCTAGGTCCGATGGCCAATGGTCGCGTTCTTTTGCGTCCCACAACGGAATTGCGAAAAGAAGCAATATCGTGTTGCTTTGGTTTCGAAAGAAAAACGATATGTGCAGCAGAATCGTTAATCTCATTGGGCTGACGCACTCGCTTGTAACACTGAATGCGATGGCTGGCGAGGACGTGTTCCACACGAGCACGTATGAGTCGGTTTCTGATGACATATGTTGAAAAACAACTTACTCCAGTCATTGTATGGGTACACAAACTGCGATATTCGTGGGGGGGGGGAAAGAACGGAAAGTGGTGTAATAAGAGCCAAGTAGATATTACAAATCGACTGCGCAGAAACGGCCTCAAGCAGCCATGTGGTCTTTTTGATCGGTATTCGACGCACCATGCTGTTCTTACAATTGAGAAAATAGCTTCAGATTAGTGCACCAGATTTGAGAGTAGCTCCAAACCAGTCTTCTCCGCCTATAGTTCATACCCTTTCAAGCCGATCCGATATAACCCAGATAAGCAAGGTTTGTGTACTAGATGGCACAAGGCAGTGGCCCTGTTAATCGTTTATATCTCAAGTGTTACGAAGTTGAGGCGGCTTCCGGAGTTGATGTTGTTTCCTGTCACCATCATATGCGATAGGCAATTCAAGCCAGTAAAGCCCGGACATGAGCTCTCTGGTTCCTATCCCGGATTTTCTGAACGAGTAATGAATGTCCATCAAGATATAATTTATTTCCTGAAACATGATACAGTAAGTTTAGACGGGGAACTCTTACGAAGATGAGAGAAATAGAGGTTCGTCGAATGTCATATAGCCCAGTGACAATTATGACGCTGAAAGATTTGCGACCGTGATTGGTTTCTGTTGGTTGAACAAGCAAGCTGTAGCAATACTTTTCCAGAGATTAATCTTTTTTTCTGTTCTAACATGTTAACTTAGTGTAGAAGCAAATTTCGGAAATGCCAAGCGCTCGAGTCTTACTTCGAGTCAAAAGCTGGAGGGGCTCTTTCGACAATGTTAGCTTTTGTTCATCTGAATTTAGAATATATTATGTACGAGATAGGATGGACGATTTCGAAATCAGTATGGAATAGGTCAGTGAGTTTGAAAAGTGAAAAAGCGGAAGCTACCTGGTCTCGAAAGCGTGTACTTGCTACTTGGCTTAGTAGCAGATACGCTCGTACCGTAATTACGGCAAATACCAAGAAGCCAGTGAGGGGGCCGAGGATTGATCGGGTGTTAGCGCAACTGTGCTTCTGGAATCTTTGTCGAAACTGTTTTTACCAGGTACAGCCTTGGCCTTCGATGCATTAAGCCTAACCCTTCAAGTATCATATCCAATACCACGATGGGATACCATGTTGCTTGATGTCGTTCTGCGGTTATCCCTGGAGGCCGAGGCCCCATTCAAAAGCAGCTATGGCCATTTGCTTTTGAGGTCTGACAGACCTGGCACCTGGGTACCGCTGGGCAACCCCGGACCGTTGGCCAACCCCCGGACTGCATGCAGATGCATCGATGCCCAGATACTTTGGATCTACTCCTAGGCGAAACGTCGGGATTCAACAGGTCTTGAGTCTCAAAAGGAATGCTTGTGAAAGTCACTACCTGCTTGCTTATTCGAGAAGGTGGCCGGTCAGTATCGTATGGCCTCCTGCCTTGAAGCCGCCTCGGGGGCTGATTTCGCCCAATGCCCATGACCAACGCAGTGCCGCGGCTTGTGACCTCGATTTCTGCTTGAGCCGGCCTTTTCCAGTATTTTCCTATGATAGCATTCATCTTAGCATACGCCACACATGAGCCAGAGTCATTGCCAAGCCGTTCAGTCCGCCAGCCAAGCTTCACCCGGCACGCGACAAAAGACCAAGACACGACGCTCCGCGACAGCATTTCACTTTCCCACACTCCACAAAGGTCGTTGGTCTAAGCGCAATCCAATCGCGTGGTTTCGATCCAGCGAAGCCAGTGATATGAGCACTTGGCATGGGGCGCCGTCTAGCCGATCCTTGTTGGCCGAGTCGGGAGCCGGCACAACACTTTGCTTGTAAACTTCCCTGCGTGCAATAGTTGCCAACACTGCCAACAAACCCCAAGGCTCAAATTTCATGTCCGGGTGTTGGGAAGATTCCACTAGCACTACACCTGCTTATCAACTCAAGACCTGGGCCCGTCCAGAACGAATCAGACGTCGTATTCGAAGATAGTTGGCTCCTTGTGATAGGTTGAGGATACTCAGGGACAAAGGCGATGCGAGAGCACGGTGGCATTCTGGATTATTGGTAACAGAATCGTTATCTCTTGGTTGCCTTGCCACAGGAATGATGCACGGAGTAGCTGAAAGGGCGGGGTTCATTGTATAATATGTACGTGTAGGAGCACATGCTCAGGGTGAGGTTCCAGGTGACTGTTGTTTCTTAGCCTCGCACACGGAAAACGAAAACTTGTCCATCTCCTGGCGTCTTGCCATACATCTTCTGCAATGGGCGAGCTCGACTCCAAAACGGACGAGATGGAGCGTGCTGCGAGCAGCAACAGCTCACCCTCCAACAATACCATGCCAACAGCAGCTGTCGCGGTCGAGGAGAAGAAGACGTTTTGGCAGAGAGCGAAAACTCCAGGTTCGGTATGGCAGATCATATTAGCCGCTATTTTGGCCATTGTCATTGGTCTCGCTGTCACGACCACTGTCGACGAAGTACCTGAAGCAGCAATTGTTCTTCTCGCAGTCCCCGGAAACCTTTGGTTGCGTGCCTTGCGAGCAGTTGGTATGTGCCACGTTAGCTATTTGGGCTGAATCTTGCGATCTAACAGACACAGTACTTCCCATGATTGTCACTGCTATGATCATGGCCGTCCAGCGCCTACGAAACATGACCCAAGGAGGTGGTGCGGCCGGCAAACTCGCTCGCTGGACTGTTGGATATTACGTCCTTACTACCATTCTCGCTGTTGCGCATTCTGCTCTACTGGTCGGTCTAGTCTGGAGCAAGCTATTCAATGTTGTGTCTGGCAGCGCATTGGAAGTGTCCGAAGAGGACAAGGAGCTCGTCGATGAGAGGAAGGACACTGCGATCCATGATGTTGTCGTTGACATGTTCTATTCCCTCGTACCCAACAACATTGTTAACGCCTTGGCTACGGATGCCCTTCTCTCAGTGCTGATCACAGCTATCGTCCTCGGATATGTCATCAAGCCAGGAGGTGCCCTCTACCGAGCGGTCGAGGAAGTCGAAGTCATCATCCTCAGAGTAATCACTGTTCTGATTCATTTGGCGCCGATCGGTGTCTTCTTCCTCATCATGCCTAACCTTTTCCGCCTCGACATTGCTGAGATTGGTACGAACCTAGGTATACTCATTGGAGGAACGCTATGCGGCATGTTCATCCATATGTTCATCCTCATTCCTATCATCTTCTTTATCTTTACCAGGAGCAACCCATACACATTCTGGTTCAAGATGAGCCCTGCATGGATCACCGCATGGGGTACTGCGTCAAGCGCTGCTACTTTGCCCGTCACTATCCGGTGTGTGCTGAAGGCGGGAGTTCCCATCACAGGTCAGTTTGCGTGACCAATTTGTTCGATTTTCGCCTGTTAATGTTCCATAGTTACCAAATTTTCCGTTCCACTTGGTTGTCTGATTAACATGGATGGTACTGCGATTTACTTCCCAATCGTAGTTGTTTTCCTAGCTGCTACTCAAGGCATCACCTTGAATGCTACGGATTATATCATCATTATTCTACTTTCGACCCTCGCCTCTATTGGAACGACACCGATTCCGAGCTCCAGTCTAGTTCTTGTAGTCATGATTGCCACTAGCGTTGGTGTGCCAATCACTGGAATGTATGCAGTCGTCATTGCAATTGACTGGTTCTTGGATCGCTTCAGGACGGCTGTTAATGTCAGCTGTGACACTTGGGCAGCCAAAATTGTCACACAAGTCACAGGGATCAAGGACGAGGATGGTGTGACATACGACGAGACCGAGAGCATTGATCCCAACGCGTTGGGACGCCGGGAAGATGAGTCTAGAGTGTAAGAGTTTGTAATATGCTTGAGTTGTTTAATCGTTGCCTTCGTATAGAAAGAGTGTTTTCTCGGCAGTCAGACAATTCGTAATGCAATTGTCTTTCATTCGATATAACATGATAAGTCGCCTGGAATGAGCTTAATCCAAATTACTAATCATTAGTTGATTCGTCTTGGGTGTGTTGGTATAAAATGCGGAAGTTGTGCCGTGCATTTGATATGTTGCCAGCTGGAAGATCAAGAGTCAAGTAAGTAAGTGGGTGCAACAAGTGTCATGAATGCCTCAACGCAGGTGGGAGGCACATGTGCTCCTTCCCATTAAACCCCACACTACGCATCGGTGAGAAGAAGAGATGCAACCGATTTTCGAAATGAACTGGAACAACGTTAAGTGAACCTGAAGAGTTTTTTTCGATATCAGCAAGTGTGTGATGAACTGCATCGGATTTCCAAGTATCAAGATGAGCATAGCTATTAATGGCGGAATGCTCGGAGGTGGCATGATTGACTAGTCCTGATAAGGATCTCAACGACCAGTGGTTAGGATGAACAGAAATGACCAGCTACATGTAGAGTTGGTCATCCAGCATTCTTAACGTCACGTCTTCTCTCAATCATTTTCTTCGTAGGCAAAAGTATAATATCTAACATGGAACAAGATAGATTGGGTGATTGAGAAGAAACAGCTGAGATTTTGTTCGTGGGTATCAATAAACGAACACGCTGAGAAGGAGTGGCTAAGCTACATGTATGAAGGGCTGGAAAAGAGAGCATCATGTTCGAAAGCGGGCAAGAATGATTACTCTGAGTCGTCACCTGCACTATCCTCGCTCTTATCACCGTCATCGTCGTCACCTGAGTCAACTTCGACATCATCATCGTCGTCGTCGTCGTCATCATCAGCTTCAGTACCATCCTCTTCTTCACTGTCGTCTTCAAGCACAACCTTTTGTTGGGGCACTGGCCTTGCAGCAGCTCTCCGACTTGGCCTTCCAGTGGCTGTGACCTCGTTTGTCTTTCCCCATGCTAGTTCACCTTCTTGGATAGCCTCGAGATCTTTTGCAAACTCTCTCTTCTCCTTGATCTTTGCAGCCTTTTCGTTGGAATACTTGCCATCCATGCCGACGTCTTTCAGCCAACCTTTGAGGACGCGGATCTTGTCTTTGGATGTGTTGCATTTTGAGAGCTCTGGGTCGCGAGACCAGACCTTGCGGATGCCGCATTTGACCAACCAACCTTGTAGGCGCTTAACCTCTGCAGTATCGGGATCGTCCTGGGCCTTGGACTTGGGTGTTGCTTTCGCTTTTGGTGGAACCTTTTCTTTCTTGCCTTTCGCTGCTGGGGTCTTTTTCTTCTTCTTGACGGGTTCCTCGTCAATGACGCTTGAAAGGTCGCTGTCGGACACGTCTCCCTTTGTGTCTGACGCCTTTGGGGGTGCAGTCTCTGCCTCCTCGTCATCATCAGCGGCGGCGGCACTTGGCTTTGGCAATGGCTCGGGCACATCGTCTTCGTCCGAGTCTTCTGCGACAACCTTTTTACCGCGCCTTGCGGGCTTCTTTGGTGGGTCGCTTTCAGCGTCGGATATTTCAGCAGGAGGTTCCGAGAGGCCAGCCCCGGACTCTTCAGACTCAGATTTGGCGCGCTTCTTGGGCTTCTTTACAGGCGCATCAGCTTTTCGCTTTACACCGCGAGGGCTCTCGGTAGCAGGTTTGGATTTCTTTGGGGCAGGCTTCGCTTTCGGCTTGGGTGCTGCCTTGGTGGGAGTGGGCTGCGGCGAGGGTTCATCACTACAGAATTTGTCCTAGACTGCGTCTTAGATGGGTCAATGCTACGACTACTGCTGTTACCGACCACTGCATCTACAATTGTCTTTTGCGACTTTTCCTTCCAGCTCGCGTCGGTCTTGAAGAAGCCCTCGTCTAGGCCTAGCTCCTTCTCGGCGCGCGCGCGAACGCGTTTGACGGTCAAGTCATCCGTCTTGCCAGACTTGTGGATGGCGATGACAATATCGCGCAGCTTGTTGGTGATTGCTGCCTCGGAAGGCGTTGCGCCCTCTGCATCCGACATGATGGGCTGGCTGTGTTTGTTGGTGAGGTTGGATGATCGCCGATAGCATGGACGCGACAAGGCGCGGGAGCTTGACGGCAGCTTATCGCCTAGTCGGGCATGGGGTGTGCACGTGACATGGGGGAGACATGGAATTGTGTCAATTCGCATCAGGCAGCCCCGCAGCCAATGGTGCTGCCAGACACTTTGGCGGGCAGGTCCTAGACGGCCCAATGCGCTGGTCAATTATTTTCGGTGGACATGGACGGTCGAAATACAGTGCATAGCCCGCGATGTCCACCTCATCGTTTTGCAGATTCAAGGCAAAAGGCGGCATTTGTTGGGCGGCAGGACTAGCCACGCTCTGCTCTTATTTATGTAGGGATGCCCCGCCCACGCGGCGGGCAGCTCCACGGCCGACGTCACAAACGCTCGCAGCTTTGGACAATCCCACTCTGCCAGCCTCATCTGATTCTTTTCCCATTGCCCACTACCCACACCGCCCTAGAGCCCTAGTCTCGTTCATCCTTGGCCCCTGGTCCGCCTGCATCTGGCCCTGTCGCGCACCCTCCCTCCATCGGTACGGCAGGTAGAAAGTATATGTAGGAGCCAGAGCTCGGAACCTACGAGAACCCACTTGCACTCAGCGGGCCCTGTTTATTATCATACTTTCGTCACCCAGCACCGCGGCTGAAAAACACTGCTCCCTCCCCTCTCGCGCCTGCGAGCACCCTTCACACCCCTCACCTGCCGCCGTCACGCTGTCCCGCACGCTTGCTGTGCTGACCTCGCCTGATTATTCCCGCTGTAAATAAACATCCGTCTCCAGCAAGCGGTCCATCTGGCCCCCTCCTTCAGTCCACTGCCCCTCCATACACCTCCCGCGCAAACTTCACAAACATGCCCGACGAACCCACACGGCTTGTAAGGCCCGAGGCCTCGGAAGGACGCCTGCTCCTCGTCTCCAACCGTCTTCCCATCACTATCAAGCGCTCTGATGAGGGCAAGTACGACATGTCCATGTCCTCTGGTGGACTGGTCAGCGGCCTGAGCGGCCTGGCAAAGACGACGACCTTCCAGTGGTATGGCTGGCCCGGACTCGAGGTACCAGAAGACGAGGCCAAGGGCCTGAACGACCAGCTCAAGGAGAAGTACAATGCCGTACCTGTCATGCTTGACGACGAGCTCGCAGACCGACACTACAACGGCTTCTCAAGTGAGGTTACACTGGCGAGCTGCATAACTGCCAAAACTAACCTCACGCAGACGAAATCATGTGGCCGCTCTTCCACTACCACCCCGGTGAGATCACCTTCGACGAGTCCGCTTGGGATGCATACACCGAAGCCAACCGTCTGTTCGCAAAGGCTGTCGCCAAGGACGTACAAGATAACGACATGGTCTGGGTACACGATTACCACCTGATGCTCATGCCGTCTATGCTGCGAGAAGAGCTTGGCGACACCAAGAAGAACGTCAAGATTGGCTTCTTCTTGCACACTCCCTTCCCCAGCTCCGAGATTTACCGAATCCTCCCCGTCCGTAACGAGATCCTCCTTGGTGTGCTCCACTGCGATCTCATTGGTTTCCACACCTACGACTATGCCCGCCACTTCCTGAGCAGTTGCTCTCGCATTCTGTACGTATTTCTTCTGTATACATCTAGAAATTGTGCTAACACGCAGAAGCGGTCTAGCTACAACACCAAACGGCGTCGAGTTCCAAGGCAAGGTTGTAACCGTGGGGGCTTTCCCTATCGGTATTGACCCGGAGAAGTTCGACGAGGGTCTTCAGAAGCCAAAGGTGCAGGAGCGGATAGCGGCCCTCGAGAAGAAGTTCCAAGGCGTCAAGCTGATTGTCGGTGTCGACCGTCTTGACTACATCAAGGGCGTACCACAAAAGCTGCATGCTCTCGAAGTATTCCTCACCGAGCACCCCGAATGGATTGGCAAGGTCGTGCTTGTCCAAGTCGCTGTTCCCTCCAGACAAGACGTCGAAGAGTACCAGAATCTTCGGGCTGTCGTCAATGAGCTTGTTGGTCGCATCAACGGCAAGTTTGGCACCATTGAATTTATGCCTATCCACTTCATGCACAAGTCCGTCTCTTTTGACGAGCTCATCGCACTCTATGCCGTTTCAGATGTCTGCCTCGTTTCTTCAACGCGCGACGGTATGAATTTGGTCTCCTACGAGTACATTGCGACACAAGAGAAGCGACACGGCGTCATGATTCTCTCTGAGTTCACTGGTGCTGCCCAGAGCTTGAACGGCAGTCTCATTGTCAACCCATGGAACACTGAAGAGCTGGCGGACGCAATCCATGATGCAGTCACAATGGGCGACGAACAACGTAGCTTGAACTACCAGAAGCTCTCGAAATATGTCCGTAAATACACCAGGTAAGTCTTCCGACTAACATCTATTACTAGACGAGAGCTAACAATTCTTAGTGCCTGGTGGGGCGAGTCGTTCGTCACCGAGCTTAGAAGGATCTCGGAGGCTTCAGACCGCAAAGTGCACTTTGCCAACGTCACTGCTACAGGGTCTGAAGAAAATGCTAAGACTGGCGGAGAGAATGCTACTGAGCCTGCTGCTGCCGCCAACGCTCAATGAGAGACATGGTGTGGCGCCTTGGCGTCGTTGATGCTTTGATGATGACGAAATTTCATGTGGCGGAAAGACAGCGTGATGCAAATCGCTTGGATTAGGCAGAGATGAAGGGTTCTGTTCTTGCGGTGCCTGCTCAATTACTAGACCCTTTTTACTTAGATGCCGTAGCGGATTGCATGGCTACAGCAACAAATTATACCCCTTCCATGGACAAGATGATGTTATATGCTAAATTCTCGTTTATTCTGGTGATACAAACAGGCCGGCGAGTCGGTATTGTGAATTCTGTGGCATGCGAGTGCCCAACCGAGTTACCATTTCCGAAAACAGGAGTGTCACTGCCATGTCTTTGTTTAAAACCTGATTGTACCTTGAAGCAAAAGAACTAGCCACTTTTTGTTATTTCGTTTTGACACACAAACGGCGTTACGGCAGCAGGCGATACGGTATAGCGGTAAGACTCCTATCACTTTCACTGCGGTATCACATCACGGAGAGAAGTGGCAGGCCACGTGCCTCTCGAGTGCGACTGCAACATAATATCAGTGAAAAAAACGGGTAGTTGCATCAAATCCCCAGTAAATAAACACCCTCGCCCAACTACATGTCCTCTACTCAACTACTTCTACCATCAAGATGAAACATCAACTTACCAAATCCATCATTCTATAACTTGGCCTTTTTTGTATCTGTTTGTTACATAGCGTATCAGATCAATTATCTCGGAAAATAATGGCAGGACACACCTCAATCTAGCGGAATCAAATATCAAAACAATTACCTTGCAATAAAAAAAAGGGGATTGACAGATGAACGTCAGCGAGACTCTGCTTTCGAACCCTATGAGAAAACAACCCCCCGTCACCCTATCCATATCATCACCAAAAAAACAAGACTTGCCTTCCAAAACAACATTCCCCACAACCACGACCAACCCCTTCCTCAACCCACCCACCGACAATGCGGCGAAGGCTCCTCAACACACGTCTCCCACTCCGAGCAATCCTGCACAACCCTCCACATACCCAAGTAATTACACTCAAACACCGCCCCATCCTTGCCATTACTCTTCTGCGCCAAACAAGCAAACTGGCCCGCTTTGCACGGCCTCGGCCTGGGCCTCGTCCTGACTCCCACATTATCGCTAGTAGTACTACTGCCATGACTCTGCGCCACGCACCTCGCGGCACCCCCCGCCCCCTCCGTCGTACACGCACACGAATCAGCCATCTCCCACTTGCCCGCGCGGCACACGGCGATGCCGTTGTAGCCGTGCGAGAGCAGTGTCGCGCATTGCGTGGAGGATTCTACGCAGGCGTCTGTGAGAGGCGTGCAGGTCGTGTTGGAGCAGGGCGCGTTGGCCGACGTGCATGTCCGCATGACGTGCCAGTGGAGGGTCGCGGCGTTGCACTGGAAGATGTAGCTGTCGCTGGGTGTGGTGCGGCAGAGGGTCTGGCCTAGGTTGGAAACGGTGCATGGGGGGAGGTTGGTGGGGTGTTGGAGGGAGCAGAGGGTGCGGGTGGTGAGGGTGAGGAGGGTTGTAGTGGTGAGGAAGAGGAGATTCATGGGGGGTTTTTTTTTCTGTGATAAGTGGTTGTTTGTTTTTGTTTTTGTTGTTGCTGTTCTTAGGTGGTGGTGGAGAGGAATGGTATAGTGGTTTTTTAAGAGATGTAAGCGGCTTGATTGGTGGTTGGTGAAGAGGAAATACGGATAGGAGGCAGGAATGGAAGGGAGATGTTGCGTTGGTAGGAGGAGATATGGAGGTCCAATGAATTTGTGGCTGGTGATAAGATGGGAGAGATAGACGGAAGATATTGCGAATTTATAGGCATTGATTGGAATGCTTTGCTGCACTGCGTGTCCTTGTTGCAACCATAGTTTGCTATTCAGTTACGTTCATCGCAATCATGATTAATTTGATTATCGTACCTGATAGGTGCATACCTTTCAAGAGGTGTACACACTTTTTGGTACTATTACCACTCCATTCTTCAGGGTTTCTTCAAGGGTGTATTGGGCAGTCATAGTTGTGTCTTCCTTTTCTTCTTTCTCTCCTCTCCTCGTATCATCAAGATCACAGAAATAAGAAAGGCAACCCCTTCCTCAAAAGACCTTTTTTAACGCCAATTCTCTCTCTCTCTGCTCTCAAGATTTTTCATCCTCTAGAAAATATATCTACAATGGGGCTCCCCCCGCCAACTCAAAATCTTCCAGAAGCCCCCCAGCCCAACAAAAAAAATACATCCCCACACTCGTATATACATATATTCCCCTCTACCACCTTACATATTCTTCACCAAGTACCTCAAACCAGCCCACATCTCCTCGGCACTCGGCACAATCTGCTCTTTCGGCAGGACAAACCCATACTTACCCGTATCCCTCAACTCGACCGTCATACTATACGTCGCCTTTGCGACCTCAAACGCATAATCCACACTATCGCCACTAACCTGATAGATGGTATTGCAAATCGGGCCGCCCGTGAACGCCGTTCCATGCACTGCCTTGACCGCGGCAATGGCACCGTTGGTCAGCGAAGAGTACTTTGCGGAGTTGGGGAGAGCGCCGGAGCAGGTGTAGCCGTAGGGGTACATCCAGAGTTGGCTGTAGGCGTGGATGTCCATGTAGAGGGTTATGCCTTTGCCGGCGGCGATGCTGTCGAGGTGCGCTTTCAGGGCTTTGGTTTCTACGCCGTCGCCGGCTGAGGGGCCTTTGTAGTCTTGGTCGCAGGGCGAGGTGGAGGCACCGTTGGCCTGGTTCCAGTGAGAGGGCCAGTTGCCTTGATGATCGGTTAGATGTATATATGCTTGGGGGGACGGGAGAGAACTTACGGTTGATGTCCCGGCCTACGCATGAGGCGCTGGGAGTAGTCTGGCGGTTCTTGCGCCACATGCGGTCGGTGGTCTGACTGTAGGCGAAGCCATCTGGGTTGACGATGGGGAAGATGTAGAAGTCGTACGAGTCTTTGAAGCCGGCGGTTGTGGCGTCAGTGGAGGTAAGGAGTTGGTATGCTGCATATTCGACCACCTGTAAGTGTGTTAGCACAATTCTTCCTTTCCTTTGTTCCTGTTTTTTTTTTTGAAAAGGGAATTTACCATTGTCGTGATCCATTCACGTGCGTGCACAGTGCCGTGCCATACTACACCCTTCTGAGATCCCTTACCACCACTACCCCAGATGTGGATACCCTTGATATCACGGCCCTCAACCGACTTGCCTGCAGAAATGACTTCTGCGTTCTTGGGGTATGCAGCCGCAAGATCGCTAATCCATTGCATGTGATCAGCAATGGAGTGGTAGGAGTTAAACCACGTCGAGTTTGGTGCAAGACCAGCTGACAGAGTTAGGACTTCCCATGTCACCTCTTCAATTTACAGGGCGGGGAAAACAAGCGTACCGGCATATGTGCCAAAACTCTGCTCGTCTGCGATAGAAAGGCCAAGATTCTCATGCATGACTTTTGTTTCGAAACCCTGAGTCTGAGCCTCAAAGTCCTTGACCGACGACGGCGGCACCATAACATCGACGACATCGCTTGACGCAGGCTTGCCCTTCCACAGCTCAAGCTGCAGCTTGCTCATTACATTTTCGAGCTTAGCAGCGTCTGCGCCGACATTGACACGGACGACCTTCCAGTCGTCGTAGGTCACTTTCTTGGCAACGGTGGCGGCGGAGGCGAGGCCCAGCGAGGCCAGGGTGACGCTGAGGAGCTTCATGGCTACAAGATTGAAGACAGAGAAAGGTGAGAGGGAGAAGCGTGGCCTGAGGAAAGAACATTCTCAGGCTTCGCCTACCCTCTAATATATAATCGCCTCGAAACAAAGTCAAATTGCTCTCATGACAAAAGTACATGCCCGCCGATGCAGTACGACGGCTTCATTCCACATTGGGCCTTGGACAGCCTACCATTCCCTCACACCTGCCCGACTGGCCTTGGCCGCTGGCCGGGGCAGCAACCTTGCTTGGGAAGCTGGTCTGCCATATTCTGTGTAGGTATTGGGTCGACATGGCGGGCAGGTAGTTAATATCGTTGCTTGCTGCGAGATAAGCCTGGGTGGTCCAGCTCAAGCCTTATGTGCCTAGATGGTGATCTGCAGGGGATTTGCGCCTTGGCAGACCAGCCAACTGCCACATTGGGTAACGCGCAACATGTAGGCTACGCCTGCGATGTGCGAATGACTTGCGGGGATACTGTACGTGTGGGCCCATAAGTATGCTGTGGAAGATGGAATGGTACCGGTGACGCGATCGGTGAGGCGGCATGCGACCTTCCCCTTTGGCGATGGAGGGACCGGGTGTAGCTGTGGAGTACGGATCGGTGTCAGGATGTGGGCTGAGAAGGTGCTGAAAGTGCTGCGTGCGAGGTAGATGCTAGTATTACATACGACATGGTAGCAGAATACACAAGGGCAAAACATCTAGTCCTTTCACTCCTTCTTCAGCCCAACCTTACCCGCCTTCCTCAACCCCACAACCGCAATCCCCATGCACACCACCATATACCCAAACATGAGCCAATAACTCGCCCTATACCCCTTCAGTACCGCACCCTCATCCTTATCCTCAAATGCACTCCCCCCACCATGTCCACTTGCATGTCCCTCGCCAGTACTGCCACTAGCAGGACCCTGCACCCCCAGCGCCACAACCTGACAACTCCCCATGCCCAAACTCATACCAAACTGCGCCACGGTGTTGAAAACCGCGCCTGCCAGCGCCTGCGTCTTTTCCGGAAAATTATCACTAACAATGACTAGCCCAACGGTGAATAACACGTCTGCACTAAACGGCGCGAAGATCTGTGCCCAAAAGGCAAGTTGCCAGTAGCTCCAGGTTGGCGGTACGAGGGCCATGAGGAGAGGCGATAAGGCGCAGATGAGAGCTGAGCCGGCGACCAGCCAGCGGGCGGGGACGCGGTGGATGAAGAAGCCTACGAGGATGTTGATGAGGACGCCGGTGGCGAGGTTGGGGAGGAGGTAGAGTGAGGTTGTTAGTGTGGAGGCGTGTTTGATTTCTTGGAAGCTAGTGCTGTAGTTAGCGATTGTATTGATAGCGGTTATAATGCGACGTACTAGAGGCTAGAGAAGAGCTCGAGGGAGTTCATTACACCGTAGGATAGGGCGACCATGATGCACGTGCTGGTAAAGGGGAGGTTCTTCCAGAGTTTGTTGGGGACGAGAGCTGGATTTCCAGTGCGTTCGCGGTAGTGCATCCATAGCGGGAAGGCAGCGAGGAGGAGGATGCTGATGGCGAGGAGGGAGGCTGTCGAGGCTGAACGGATGCTTGAGAGGTCTGCACTGATGATACTACGTGTTGTGAGCAGAAGGTAGGGGTGGATAACCAGTGCTGTGACTTACGCTAGAACATAGGCAAGAATAGCCAAACCACCACTGGAAATAATGGCACCCACCCAGTCTATCTCCTTGCCCACCTTCTTTGTTAGAGCGACTACACCGTCGTTGTTCTGAGACGGTAGTTTGGGCAGTGTCCACAGAGCAGCAACAGCAATGGCTAGAGTACATCCTCCAGCCACATAGAAGCCCGACCTCCATCCTGCTCTTTCAATCATAACACCACTAAGCACGAGACCAACAGCGAAGCCAAGCGGTTGGCTAAACCCCAGACACGCAAACCCCAGATTCCTCGCTCTTCCAGACGGCACAGCTCCCGTTACGATAGCAACAGAAGCAGGCAGATGCATCGCCAGCGCAATACCTTGAAGAGCACGGAAAACAACGAGCTGAGCGCCCGATTGCGCAAATCCGCATAATAAAGTAAGAATACCGAGGAGTGCGATGCCAGTGAGCTCAACGGGCCTCGCACCAACAGTGTCAGCAATGGAGCCTGCGGTGAGCAAGGCAGCGCCCGACGTCAGTCCGTAGACAGATGAAGGCCATAGGTATAGAGATCTTTCGAGAGAGATTGAGCGCGCTATGATTGGGAGACCGACGGTGATGATGCCGTTGGTGAAACTTGCCATGAATCCTACGAAAGATGGTGTGAAGATGGTGAGAAAGGTGCGTAGGGCTGTCGGTTTGGGGGTGGATTCCGGAGATGATAGAGACGATTCGGTATCGAACATGCCATGGTTGATGGATGAAGTTTCTCTTGATGTTCCTGGTGTATATGGAATCGATGCGGGCTTGGGCCGTTGGTGAAGTTCAAAGACTTCTGTCGTGTACTCCTCCGTTTGTGTAGCCATTTCTGAAACTGCCTTGGAAGAATTGACAGGTTATTTTCCTTGTCCAAAAGCACATAAATTTCAAGAAGAGTGATGTTTATCATAGAAGGCTGATGTTCGAGCACATTCCAACTTGGACTGCGAACCAAGCTGTTAGATGACTAGTCGCACGCCCTACGCCCTGAAAGATGTCAAAATCCAGAATCTACATTTCCAGGCGAGTGAAAAAAAAAATCCACTCTTAAGGCCAGAAGAGTAGAATGATATTCTCAGACTGACAGATGACGGAATACATAGTATGTCAACGTGAGGATAGCATTGCGCATGGCCACTGGCTTCATTCAGGTGGAGGTCAAGCCACAGTGAGATACACCAAGACCTTGCACTCCTTCTGCAGGGCTTTGCACCCGTTGATATGAGATGTATGGAGCAAATCCATGGTAGCAAAAATAAAAAAACGTTGGGCATAGGAAGATGTAAGGCTGCCGCGACGGGCCTTGCAGTACTGCAGGGTGTCATGGGCCGCCGTGGTACCTGCTGCGAAAGAGCGGTCGCCAGTGACAACGACGAAGCCGACCGCTGCATCAGCTGCAACCATGATTGGCGCAGTGCATCGGGATGGTACCTGGATATACTGCAGTCTAGGCG